GAACAGTCAGAGTTGCACAGAGAAACCATGTCTTGAAAAAGCAAAGACAAAAAAATGAAAGAAATAAATAAAGAAAGAAAGAAAGAAAGAAAACACAGTCTTGCCCACATCTCCAATTTACTGCTCTCTAATTCCCTCTGTCCATTGTTGCTGCTTCACCTACTTTGTTCTCCTAGTCCTCCAACACCATACAGTTCTAAACAGCTTCTTTTCTACACCAGGAACTAAAACCAAGGATCATTGCAGACATTGGGGTGAAAGAATTTTTTGACTCGGTAGAGTCAGAAGAGAAGCCAGAGGACAAGATTCAGAAGATAGTGATGTTATCAAGGTCAACTAACAAACAGTACAGGGAAGGCCAAAAGCTATAGTCCTGAGCCTCCAACCTTCTCCAGGCGCTGCCTTTTCTTACGGCTATTGTTCTGGAGAACACATGAAATTAAGGGGAAGGTAGCTCAGGCCTCGGACACCATCTTGTTAAGAAGCCATGGTTCATATACACATGAACAACTACACAAAATCCAGGGGTGAGATGCACATGTATAAGACACACAGCTCCGTTAGCCCACGGCCATGGCACTGATCAGCATCAGCCAGAACATGGGGTTTTCCACACACTTCAGCCTTTTTCTTCCCTTTCCTCCAAGCTGACCCTCACTTGGAGAAGAAAAAAGGAAGATTTAGAGCATTTACTGAAAGGAAGGGGCAAAAGGACGATCCCCCATTTTGTTTCATTTCTCTCTCTTTTTTCCCTGTTCTCTCTGTTCCAGGAAGGACAAGGGAGAGACAGCGTGTCTCTCTCTTTCCTACAGCCTTTGAGAGTGATGTGCACACCTTTTGCTTCTCCTTGGTTCTCCAGGCACTGGAAAGAAGATGCTGCTCAATGCCTATGGAAAGGTGAACTCAGGAGAGGAGAACTGAGAGCCTCTGGAGAACCTAAATGGAACCAAAGGAAAAGAGATATTCTAAAGTAGATGTGTATGGACATGGTTGGCCTTATGCAGCTAAAGATGAAGTTGAAATGAAGCAAGAATGAAGTGGGGCTGCCTTCTTTCTCACCCCAACTCTTCTCTCCAGCTTGAACTTGGCAAATGACACCTCAGGTTGCTTGAAGTTGAGAACAGGAATCCCCACTATAAAATTCTCTACAATCTATAGTTTTCCATTCCTTCCTCCCCCAAAATACGATTTGGGTGGTTTGATGGTTACAGTTCTCAATTTGACATACCCATGGTCCCGCTGAGTAGAATCTACACTGACATAGTGTCCCCTGTTGACTGTCAGCTACTTGGTAGCAAGACCTATATATGTGAAGGGATACCTAAACTGTCAAGGCAGAACTTGAGTTTTCTGCTTCACAAGTATAAAATAAAAAGACTTTTGTGGAAGCAATGGAATTCACCGGAATGCCATCTAACACTCCTGTGTCCACTTTGACTGCTTAATGGGAAACGGATGGAACTCCACGATTGTATCAGCTCCGAACACTGATGTCTTTTAGGAACGAAAGAGCCATCTCACTGGGTAGTGATCTACTATGTGAGATTTTGTCAGAATTAATTATGCATGAAGGGGGGAGTTTCCCTTTTACATTACATGATATTATATATGAAAACTTACCGTTAACCTTAAAATTAGAATTTAAATTTCTGTTCCAAGTGGAATTGCGGTAAGAGCAACCTCACCCCACGATTTCTGATAGGATTTCATGTGTTACCTTGTGTTAGACAAAGGGCTCCTTTAATCTGACAAAAGAAACTGTGGGGCTGGGTGTGGGAAAAATGGCAGACTGTATTGGTTACTCTATTTGTACAATGCAGTGTGTCCTCCTTTCTTCTCCTTCCTTGTGCCCTCTGCTCTGATTCTCAGGAAATGGACACGTAAAGGCTATATTCCACCCCTCATTCTCCACGAAGAAGTCCTTCAGTTCTCCAGTCCCTCCAGACACCTAGCGAGTACACACCCTCTCGGGGAGGAGCAGCTAGAGCTCCTCCTTTGGGTTTGATCACCTTCACAGTAGGACAGGAAGTGAGGCATGAAACTGTTGCCATCAACTAGTCTGAGGACTCAGCCAGTCAGAGACTAGGTCGTTCCACTTGAACTTCCTGCTGTCCTCTTGTGGTTTCCTTGACATCTCCAGTTTCTGCTCGGCAAATTCTAGCTATCCAGGAGCACCACCCTCTTCCGCTCTGAGCCACTTGTGTACTTCCCTCCCTTGGATCACTGGGGGATCACATATGGTTGCCACCCGTTGGCCTCCACGCAAAATTCTCTCTGGCCTTGGATGACCCTGGGACAACGCTGCTTGTCTGGTCTCCCCTTCTCTGATTTGTCCCTTGTTCCCCTGCTGTTGTCCCTCAGCCTCAGCTCGTTCTCTTTTTCCCACAGTCATGGTTTTAATGGGCTTTACTGATCGTTGTTGCGATCACAAGAACGACTAATCTTGTGATCACAAGATTCATCCTGTACTCTCTCTTTCACAGAACCACCCGCGCCTCTGAACCTATACTGGGGCTATATAGATATTTGGGGGAGGGGGAGCTGTATTTTGATGCAGCGGGATCAAAGCATAGCTATCAAGGGGGACAGGGAGAAAAGCATATTCTACACGAGGACCTGGAACAGAGGAAGCTAAAGGGAGACACAGTGAAATCCTCTGAGATAGAGGCAAGGGCAGATTTAGCAAGGGGTAAAGAAACGCTCTATTAGCTAGGCAGTAGTGGTGCACACCTTTAATCCCAGCACTTGGGAGGCAGAGGCAGGTGTGGTTCTGAGGTCAGCCTGGTCTACAGAACAAGTGCCAGGACCGCCAGGAGAAACCCTGTCTCAAAACAAAACAAAACAAAAACCAACCAAACAGAAAAACAGTAAAACAAACAAACAAACAAACAACCCATAACTCCCCCAACAAAAAGCTCTACAATTGGTGAGGATGCAGAAAACTATTTGTCATGAAGGCTACATGGAGTCTCATTTTTTTTTTTTAATCTCACATTAAGCAACAAGAATAATGCAAGGGATTTAGGAATGTTTTCACGGTGGCGCCTCCAAGTCTTGGCCATTTCACTTTAGAGGCATGGTGTTTGGAACCTAGTGTCGTCTCACCTGTCCTTTCCATCCTTCTTATCATCTATCCGGACTACCCACATTTCCCATGCTCAGGCTCCTAGCCCTCCTTCTTGCTGTTGACTTTCGCCCTCACTCTTCAAGACTCATTCTTACACAACGCCCTTTTTAAGAGTTGGAAACTTGTTGTAGACTTCTGGTGTTTTTCAGCCCATTCCTTTCAGGGATAAAGTTGCTATTGTTTTTTACTCTTTTGTTTTTGTGTGTTTTTGAGTGTTTGCCTGCGTTTTGTAACTGCACCATGTGTGTGCCTGGTGCCTGGCGAGGCCAAAAGAAAGCCCTGGACTCCCTGGAACTGAAATTACAGGCAGTTCTGAACCCCCATGGAGTAGAAACTGAACTCAGGTTCTTTGCAAGGGCATCAAGGGCTCTTAACAGATGAGCCACCTTTCTAGCCTTAAGATAGAGGTTGAAGTTTATTTGGTTGGTTTTTGGCTTTTCAAGACAGGATTTTTCTGTGTAACAGCTCTGGCTGTCCTAGAACTCGCTCTGTAGTCTAGGCTGGTTTTGAACTCACAGAGATCCTCCTGCCTCTGATTCCTGAGTGTTAGGACGAAAGGCATGTGCCACCACCACCTGTTTTTTTTTTTAACAAGAGCTATTCCTTAAGTCTTTCTTGACTATGAGGTAGCATCATGTTGGTCAGAAGAATTCTATCCCAGCACTTGGGAGACAGAGGCAGGAGGATCTCTGTGAGTTAGAGGCCAGCCTGGTCTATAAGAGCTAGTTCCAGGACAGGCTCCAAAGCTACAGAGAAACCCTGTCTTGAAAAACCAAACCAAACCAAAACAGAAGAATTCTACTTAATCTACCTGAGGCTTGACATATTTAAGTCCCCAACCCCACCCCGTCTCTCTCTGGCTCTCCAACAAAAACTCACACCTGGGGATTCCACTTCTTTGAAAAAAGACTTTAACAAGGTTCTCAATGTATAGTATTTCCAATACAAAATGCTCTGTGCCCTATTTTGTATTAAATAGAACTGGGCTTTCTAAGTCATATTCTCATGAGCACAATAATGAAAAGGTACTCAGAACCTCCCACTGGCTCTGCTTTGCCCTCAAGATTTCCATTTTAGTAGGGAAGGCAGACAGGCTTTACAGAGCAACATGGTGGATGTCTGTCAAAAATGACTTAGGGGAAAGAGTCTTTGCTTCTGAATGGCCAAGTGCTGCAGGAATGCATAAACACCGATTTTCCAGATGACAGCGAAAGAGACGTGATTTGCAACCCAATCTCACAACCTTGAGTCTGAGAGCTTCTACATGGACTGTCAGGATGGGTAGACTTCTCTGTCCAACATGACTGTTGAAAGTCAGATTAAAACATATACAATAGGCCACACCAAATGGACTCAGTGGGTATTAAATTTCAAAAAGCACATGAAACTAGGAGGAGAGAGAAGTGGGGACAGGGCTAGGGGAGAAGTTGGAGGGCAGGAAGTAGATGAATGGATTAGTTCCAGACACAGTCTATTCATAGATGAACACTAAATGAGATATTTAGTAAAATATTTTAGTAAACATTTAGTAAAAAAGACACACAGACCAACATAAATGGAAAATACAGCTTTATTCAACAGCAAAAGCAAGGAGAAGTTTTATTTTCCATTCTTTTTGGAGGGTTTCCCATGATTCGGGATGGGCATAAGCATGTAAGTAATATGGTGCTTGGGCAACGGCCACCTCCAGCCTGGCATTCCTCGTGTCAGCATCCACAGCCGCTTTGACATTTCCGCTTCATCCTCATGCCGTCCCAGCTGTCTGCCCAATAAAAAGCTCATCACGTTTTTGGTGCCTTTACCAGGCTTTAAGTATTCGTCTGCCTTCCTCCTGGGGCTCACACTTGGTGGGCTGGAAACGACCTCGGGTTGTCCTCTATCCATGGCTGGTAGATCCCACACAGTCTCAAGGAGACAGCACAACTGCGGATGCCTATAAAAGATAATGAAATCCAAATAAGCAACGGGCCTCAGAGGTTCTCATTTCCTTATCAGCTCCTTACTCCCCCACATTACTGTTAATGCAGGAGTCCTGCCTCACCTATACTTACACTTTCAATTCCCAGAGCTTCACTTACTCGTGCTCAACCATGATCTGAAGACAGTACATGGGAAATTCCAGGAATAAAAGAGTTTCTAAATTTTAAATTATGCGCCTTTGTGAAGTGGCATTTTGGAATCCCAAGCCATTTCTCACTGTCCTGCGTGGGAACTGCATGAATCACCTCTGTGTTTATCACATGCAGCTGTGTACATGAACTCTTTCATAGCATCTGTAGCTTGTGTCAGTGTTACCCTGGTTTTTGTTAGTGATGCTCCCAAAGCATAAAAGCAGTGATGGAAAAGCGCCAGGACATAAACACGGAAAGACAGATTTATTCTGGTACTATATATAGCAATGTTGCAGGACACGTAGGAAAAGCCATCATATAGTGGATACCCACTGGAGATTTAGAACACATTCTCTCGTGGAATGGGGCTTTTACAGTCAATGAAATACATGGATCTAATCTACATGGGAAGTAGAAAAAGACAAGATCTCCTGAGTAAATTGGGAGCATGGGGACCTTGGGGGAGGGTTGGAGGGGAGCAGACAAAAAATGTAGAGCTCAATAAAAATAAATAAAAAATTCTTAATAAAAAAGAATGCTACCCCTTCTTCCACATTGTTATTTATGTAAGCCTGTGTCTAGAATCTCTTTTGTTTTTTTAAAGTCACGTTTTTATTTCTAAATTCTCCATGCAAGTTTCCATGTCTTATAGGTCAAGTTCATTATCAGGTCCATTCCTATGTACAGTCTCTCTCTCTCTCTCTCTCTCTCTCTCTCTCTCTCTCTCTCTCGGTTTTTTTTTTTTTGAGACAGGGTTTCCTGTAGCTTTGGAGCCTCTCCTGGAAGTAGCTCTTGTAGATCAGGATGGCCTCGAACTCACAGAGATCCGTGTGCCTCTGCCTCCCAAGTACTGGGAAGGTGTGCGCCACCACCGCCTGACAGTTCTCTTCTATATTCCTATACACATTCTCCCAAGTGCTGGGATTAAAGGCATGCCCCACTGCCCCCAGGTGCATGCTCTTCTTAATTGAATAATCTGCTCATGTCATTACTTGAGAAAATCCTATTGAAGCACATAAATGATACTGTGTTGAATTTATAGATTGGTTTTGAGTAAAAATTAATATTCTTATTCAGGAAAAATGATAATATTTTAAATGTGAAACAAATATGTGCCATTAAAAAAATTATTTTCACAGCTGGGCAGTGGTGGCACAAGCTTTTGATCCCAACACTTGGGAGGCAGAGGCAGGCAGATCTCTGTGAGTTCTAGGCCAGCCTGATCTACAGACTGAGTACCAGGACAACCAGGACTGTTACACAGAGGAACCCAGTCTTGAAAAACCAAAACATTTATTGATCTGCCTTGACCAGTACACACTCTGCATAAGCTCACGGAAATACCAAGCTACAAATGTGTACAAGAATTATTACATTTTAGTCAAAATAAGTTAAATCCACATGAATGAAGGAGATGGTCTGAAATAATTCACAGCATTCCCATGCCGCTAGGTCTTTAGGCATTAGAATGTAAAATAGAGGGGTAGGTTATAGGAGGCATTATCTGTTGTAGGTCTATGTACATTATTCTCATGTGTTTCCAGTACCAGCATGAAAAATTGTGCCCAGATCAATTCCGCTAATGGTGTTGAAGCGGTATCAAGGCTCTTGGAAGGCATAGATTTGAGACACAGAAGGACAGGACCGAGGCAGGTTGGTCCACAGATGTTTTCTCGGCTATTTTTGTTTGTTGGGTTTTTTTTTTGTCGTTGTTGTTGTTTTGCTTTGCTTTGTTTTGTTGTTTGGTTTTCTTTCAAGACAGGGTTGTATAACAACCTGTATAACAGGTCTGTATAACAACTCTGGCTGTCCTGAAACTAGCTCTGTAGACCAGGCTGGCCTTGAACTCACAGAGATCCGCCTGCCTCTGCCTCCTGAGTGCTGGGATTAAAGGCGTGTGCCACCACTGTCCAGCTCTCAGCTTTACAAGATCGGTTCTTAACCTTCCTAATGCTGTGATCCTTTAACACAGTTCCTCATGTTGTGCTGACCCCAACCATAAAATGATTTTTGTTTCTACTTCATAGCTGTAATTTTGTAACTGTTGTGAATTGTACTGTAAATATCTGATATGCACAAAGGAATTACAATTCACAGACTGAGAACCACTGTTCTAAAAGAGTGATCACTAGCACTGGGCCACAAGAACCCAGTCACAGGAAAAGCAAACCAAGCCAAACACAACCAACTAACCAATGAAACACACAAAGGGAGCCTAGGGACCTGACAGCAGTCTTCAAGGCAACAGAACAGAGTTTCTGGGGGGAAAACTGAGCCCAGACCTTATCTCTAAAATGTTCTTACCCAGGAAAAGGACACAGGAGACAATTTTACCTGAGTCTGAAGTCTCCAGCAACTCACTGAATGATTGACTTCTGAAGCCCTGGTAGGCTGTGAAAATGAAATGAACACTGTTAGGACATTTTGGTACCTCCCACCACAGGAGAAATTCAAAGAGAACTTTCATGGTCTAAGGAGGAGTCTGAGGTCAATACCTGAGCATCCCAAGAACAGCTATGGGAATCTACAACTGAACACAGTACTCAATCCTCCTCCCAGCAACCTCTCTACTTACTGTTTTCAGTCCTAAGTCAAGAGTAACCTAGGTGGTAGTGGTCAGGTCAAAAATCTTCCTATTGTATACAGTGCCAAGGTTCTGAGGTCCATTGTGAGTCATCATGACTTGTTAACCAATCAGATCCCAGGATGCAGAGGAAACGGATGGAAAGTGAAGAAATGAAACTTTCCCTCCCCCTTCTTACCCTCACTCCCAGATCAGTACTGCTCCCTTGGGATCTGGCTCCTCAGTTAGCTGGAGAAAAAACATTCACAGAAATGAAGAAATTATAGCAACTTTGTTCATTATAAACAAATTAACTGAACAGATAAACACTAATCCCGCTGCACTGTGGCAATATGGATGCTATCATTTAATTAGTAGAAAGTCGTTGCAGAAACAGCTTTAAGTAAAGCATATTCTGGTTTCTATCCCAGCCCTGGGTGGCTCCCATACATAAATCTATTGTCCTCAGGTCTGTCTTCTGCAAGGCAAATGCCTTCACCTTTGGGTGTTTGTAAGGATTTACTGGGATAGAATCAAAGCCATACTCAGAAACAGTGACTGCCTTCCAGTGAGTACTCAGGTCCTTTCCACTCCCCACTCTGCTGCTCACCACCGACCTTGGCCTTAAGCATTCCTATTGGATTTTTTTTTTACTTCCCTGAAAGTTGTCCTCATTGGTGGTGTTGTTTCCCCTTCCCTCTGTTTCTCGCCATTCTCAAACAAAAGTTCTTGGGAAGCCAGGTGGTGGTGGCGGCGGTGGCAGCGGCGGCGGCGGCGGCGCACGCCTTTAATCCCAGCACTTGGGAGGCAGAGGCAGGCGGATCTCTGTGAGTTCAAGGCCAGCCTGGTCTACAAGAGCTAGTTCCAGGACAGGCTCCAAAGCAACATAGATAATTCCTGTCTCGAAAAACCAAAAAAAAAAAACAAACCCCAAAAGTTCTTGGGGGATAAGGGAAGGCTCCGGATACTCACAGTAGCAAAGGGAAAGGGCTCTGGACTCTCAAGCTGGTGGTCTCTATTCTGTGGCTGATAGGCAAGTTCTTGTCTATAGAATCACTTGTACTCACAGGAGAGACACTAAATTTGTGTCCCTGGTCAGTCTGCCATCATCTGCCTTTGAGAAAATCAGCATGTACTGCACTCCCAGAGTGCTAAAACGGACTGCCCTTGTTTTATACATGAGCTTAATTCCAGTTCTTACTGGAACTGGGGACTCTGAGGTCTGCCTGTGAACAGAGTGGGGCCCCGGCTCCAAAGCACTAGCCCGAAGCACTGCTGCTGGTCCTCTGGTGAGTCATGGTTCTGTGTCACATCTAAGACCATGGAATCCCAAGCCTACAGATACACCGACCTTCAGCCCAACTCCTGTGTTGCTGATGGCTGAGATGACTATCAGTCCTCAGGAAAGAAATTGCATTTTCATTAAGAGGCACTGACGAGAAGGTGAACTTCATGTCTAACTGGAACATGAGCAAGGACACTAGCGGGAACACGCTGTGTTTTAAAGGGTAGTGGTATGTGGCACGTAACGTGTGCAAGTTCATTGCTAGTCCATAGAAGTCCATACATAGTAAGATTGTTCCCTTGCTTTGAAAATCAGCTTGCTATTGAAACGTTTCTCCACTTCCTGGACTGGGTTAAGAACACAATTGCTAACAAAGACAATGTGTGCCAATTGCTGACATTTATAATGCTGTACTTAAGTCTATTGGCTTACTTAGACCTTCGTCTCTTATCCATAAATGATGAGGCTGGTAAGAAAATCCCTGTTAACAAAAAGTCAAGTGACGGTGGCACACGCCTTTAATCCCAGCACTCGGGAGGCAGAGGCAGGCAGATCTCTGAGTTTGAGGCCAGCCTGGTCTACAAAGAGAGTTTCAGGACAGCTACAGCTGTTACACAGAGAAACCCTGTCTTGAAAAAAAATGGAAGGAAGACCTTGAATTTCCTGTGACCCTCCTGCCTTCTGAAATAAACCACTTGTTTTCCTATTCTTGTAGCTGCTCTTAGCAAACAACTTGTTTTGCAGCTGCTCTGAGCAGGAGACCCCCAGGAGTTCCTGATGGCAGGGGAGTGGTTTCTGGTGGGCTTGCAGCTGAGAGTTAGGGTGTGGCCATTAGTCAAGGAGACCCTATATAAGCTGCCCTGGAACACAATAAAAAGTGTTATTCTTATACCCAAAAGATGCTCAATCATACCACAAAGACATTTGTTCAACTATGTTCATAGCAGCACTATTTGTAATAGCCAGAACCTGGAAACAACCTAGGTGCCCCTCAATAGAAGAATGGATAAAGAAGGTGTGGCATAAAAAAAGTGTGGCACATTTACACATTAGAGTACTACTCAGAGGTAAAAAAGCAATGACATCATGCAAATGATGGAATGAGAAAGCACTATCCTGAGTGAGGTAACCCAGACCCCCCAAAATGAATATGGTATGTACTCACTCATAAGTGGATACTAGCTATAAACAAAGGATATTGAGCTTTTAGTTCATGAACCTAGAGAGCTAAGTAATAAGGTGAACCCAAAGAAAAACATAGATCCACCTGGAAATTGGAAACAGACAAGATAGCCTGACAAAATTGGGAGCACGGGGGCCGTGGGAAGAAGGAAGGGGAGAAGGGGAAGAGGAGGGGAGAAAGGAAGGCTTGAGGAGAACTTGAGGAGAACATAGTTGAGATGGAGGAAGGACAGATATGAAAGCAAGGAAAGAGATATCTTGATTGAGGGAGCCATTATGGGGTTAGCAAGAAACCTGGCTCTAGAAAAATTCCCAGAAATCCACAGGGATGAACCCAGCTAAGACCCTAAGCGATAGAGGAGAGGGTGCCCGAACTGGCCTTGCCCTGTAGTCAGACTGATGATTATCTTAAATATCACTATAGAACCTTTGTCCAACAACAGATGGAAATAGAGGCAGAGACCACATCAGAGCACTGGACTGAGCTCCTAAGGTCCAGTTGAAGAGTAGAAGAGGGAGAGTATGAGCAAAGAGGTCATGACCATGAAGGGTTTATCCACTGAGACAGTTTGCCGGAGCTAATGGGAGCCCACCAACTCCAGCTGGAATGGGAAGGAACAAGCACAGAACCAAACTAGTCCCTCTGAATGTGGGTGACAGTTGCATGGCTGGGGCAGACTGAAGGATCACTGGCAGTGTCACTGGGATTTATCTCTACTGCATGTACTGGCTTTTTGAGATCCTATTCTCTTTGTATGCATACCTAGCTCAGCCTAGATGTAGTAGGGAGGGCCTTGGACAAAGTGTCTTACCTTCTCTTAGGATTAGAGGGGTGTGGGGTAGGAGAGTGTGTGGAGGGAATGGGAGGAGGGGGAGGGAGTGGGAATTTGTACTGGTATTTTTTTAAAAAAAAATCTAATAAATAAATTTTAAAAAGTGGCATTCTTGGCATTACCTATGTTTGTGTGTTTGTGTTTGTGTGTGTGTGTATCAGTCTCCAGGTCCTTGCCTGACTCATGAACCATACCATAGCATGTGACACATAAGAGAAGGCATTGAGCTATACGTGGGGTCCTGAGAACTCTGGCTTTGCTTGTACTCGTTTACTCTTGTGTGGATTTTTAAGTGTCTAAGCAGGCTGGATTTGTGTTTATAGCTTTTCCGACAGTATTAGCATAAAAATGGTTTCTCGTGAGTGTGTCTTACTTGATGTGCGACTGCCCACTAAACTTCAATCAGTTAGCAGCTGTCCTGGTGTGTGTGTGGGGTTCTTCACCATGAAGTTCCAGATGTTTGTATTCTTTGGATAAATGGAAGTCTGGAAGCAAAGCAGAAAACAGGTGCTTGCTCTTCTCCAGTGTTACACTGAGTGATGACTGAGGAATCCTCATATGGATTACCAAGGAAGAGCATGAGAACGCATGTCCCGACATCTGCTTCTGCTGGGAGTGTGCTCTCTTCCCTTTAGCCTCAATTTCAACCAGTCAGGGCTGTAATAGAAAGCACCTGGGCAGTTGTTGCATGCATGAGCCTAGCATAGGCCCTAATGACTATGATCCCAGGAGGCTTACAGGTTTGTTTTTTTAACAGGGGCTCATAATGCTTATTGGATTACTAAGTGTCATGATGTTAATAAAGAACCAGCTCCTGGCTCCTATGTACTTATTGTGCACCCACCAGGAATTTATATCTTGTAACTTGAACTTCTTATGTGTTTTCTCAATACTATGCACTTCTTTCAGGGGATGGAGGGAGAGCCCCTCCCTTCATACAAAGAAGTTTTTTTCTGTTTCTATGCTTTTCACACTCACAGCTGATTTCCAGTTGCACTGGTCATATTCTAAATGCTCAAGAACCAGGAGCGACGTTTGGCTCCTGTGCCTAGCAGGCCCTCTTCAGGCCACTGAAGACAGTGTCTTATACAATTAATAAACTTGAGATGACAGAGAAGAGAGGGAGAGCCACTTACTCGTTCCATCCTTAGACAGAAGCCTTTGGCAGCCTCCTATGCAGGCCACCACCTACCCTGAAGCCAACAGCTCCAACAGAGCAGCTCCTGCCTCAAGCCCCAGACAACATGAGAGCTCCTGCTATTTCCTCCCAGGGACACTGCCCTGTGTTCATCTATGCCTTCTGTCGACGAAGCTTCAAGAGGTGGTTCTGAACAGAAGGCAAAACTGCCCCCCATGAGGATTTTCGTCATATGCTTATAAGTGCTGCTGGAATTTAATGAGCCACGGGGGAGGTGGGGTGCATACTCACAACATGGAGCCATTGCTACGTTCTCCGAATACGGAATGTCCTCCTCAAATGGCCACCTAGAGTGAAACAATCTAGCAAAAGAATCCTGTTGATCAGGTAGAAACCAGATAGTTATGCCCCATTTGAGAAGGACTTGGTTGTCTCAGAAACATGCAGTTGTGAAGTTGCTGGAACAACATGTTGCTTATGACCCTTGCTTTTACCAAGACTTGTTTGCCATTCTGAGAGTTCATATGACTAGAGGCAAGAATGCTCACAGCCCTGGGACACTGGTCTGAATTCCTGAATTGTCCAAGCATAGTAATTATGAGCAGAGAAACAGCATGTGAATGTTTTATCCTGTCAGCCATGGATGTGAA